GGGGCAATATTGTTTGGGGTAAAAAAAAAAAATGGCACAGAATCTGGGACTGGAGAGATGGCTCAGTGGTTTAGTGCATACTGCTCTAAGAGGGGACCAACTTTGGTTCCCAGCACCTACATCAGGTGACTCGCATGTACCTACAACTCTAGCTCCAGGGGATTCAACCCCCTCTTCTGGCCTCCACAGGCTCCTGTACTCTCATACACATACTGCCCACCCCACCCCACCCCCGACCATGATACATGATTTAAAAAATAAAACCTTAAAAAAAAAAATCAGGCAGGCCTAAGTTCAAACCCCAGATGTCCAGTCTCTCACCAAATATAACCTTAGGCGACTTGCTCAATTGTCTGGTTTCAGTTTCTGCTTCTCTAAGATGGAATAAATGTGTATACACATTGAGGCCAGCTAGTGTGAGCACTAACAGACAATACATAGTAGGTGCTCATTATAAGCCAGGCTCTGCCTAAACACTTCATACCTCCCATGAAGTCAGCATTCTTTTCTCCACTTTGTGGAGGCCTTGCTTGAGTAAGTCTCCTAAGTATCTTCAGACCCTACTGACTCAGCTGCTCACTGGGTCTGTGTCATGGAGTCGGGTCTCTAGACACTCCCTTACTTCCTACAGGCACAGACTGAGGGCCAAGGCCCTGGCTGGGCCATTGGCTCCGGGAAGGCCCAGTCACCCATGATGCCCAAATGCTCACTTCCACCCAGGGTGGGCTCTGGGCTCTGGCTGCCCTGCGCTGGGCTGGGTGCCCAGAACAGGCGGCCCTGGCTGGATGGCTTTCCCTGGCTCTGGCCATGGGGACAGGAGGCAGCAACCCAGCTGGGCCCTGGCTGTAATGAGGCCTCATTAGTGGGATCCAGCTGCTCCATCCCCACTTAAGGAAGCCGACTCCCCCAGCCCCAGCCTCTGACTTTTCTTAATAAGAGTGGGCATGCTTCCAGGGGGGCAAGGAGTCTAGGGGCCTTGTTGTCCTCTGTGGCTCTGGAGAGAAGGTCCTGCTGAGCTGGGACTGAGCATGCTGGGGTGTGGGAAGCTAGTGTATGAGAGGAGGTAAGGCTATAAGGCTGAGTAGATGGGCTACAAGGAAGATGAGAGAGAAGAGGGAGGGACAAGCATAGAGAAGCCCTTTTCCCTCTGGATCTGGACAGTCCATTTTACAGGGTTAGCCCTTGCACACCTGGGACCAGTGGAAGGTCGTCGCCTAGCCTGTTCTGGCCAGGAGGGAGCTTCCCTATAGCACATGTAGTTTCTGAGCTAAGAGACTTCTTGCATGTGTCACACCCTATGCTAGGAAAGCAGGTACTCTGTGCCACAGCCTGTGTCAGCAGAGGGCCCACTGAGCGCTAAGTGAAATGCTGAAAGAAAATACACTGTGATCCAGGTGTATACTAAGAAAGAACTCACTATGCGCAGTGTGTTAGGAAGGCACTCAGTGTATGCTAGGACCTGCAATAGCAGAGTATCTACTGTGTGCCAAGTCCAAGGCCTAAAGAATCTATATCATGTGCCAGATGTGTACTAGAAAAGCACCCACTGTGTTCCCTGGTTCTGCTGGAAGAGTGCCTACTATGTGCCTTGTCCAATGCTGGGAACTCTGTGTCAGCCCATGCCAAGTGAACTACTGTGTGTGGGGTATGAGGTCTTGCACTAAGTGAATAACCTGTGCATGCCAAATCCTGATCTAGGAAAGGACCAGATATGGTTAGGTACCCACTGTGTACCTGGCACTATGCTCCATGAGTGCCCACTGGGTAGCAAGCCCTGTGCTAAGGGGAACACTCAACATGTGCTAAGTCTATACTAGCTAGGCATTGGCTACATGCTGAGACTTATACCCAACCCTGTCAGGCCCTTTACCAAGGGAGTGCCCAATGTGTGCCAAGCCTTCTGCTTGGTGATCTCCCATTGTGTGCCAAGCCTGTACTAGTTGAGCACTTGCTAAATGCCAAGACTAGGCTTGGTGAGCCAGTATCCACTGTGTGCCAGGGCCTGTGTAGATGCTGCAGGCAGGAGGTATCCAAACCCTCATGCCAAAACACAAGTGAACGGGTCAGGGTGGGGCAGCCCCAGGTGGCCTGTGGCACTTGCAGAGTCTTCTGGGAGTTAGAAGCTCTGGCACCAAGGACCCTGGTGTTAAGTGATTCTGTTATTTGTTATGAGGCTTCCCAGTGGCAGAGGCAACCAGTGTGTTACACATGGGAAGAAGTAAGGCTCAACACATGGGTAGGGAGATGGCCCTACCTGTGACGGCCAACATGGAAACAGTGTAAGATGGTAGGGCTAAAACTGAGGCAGTGGTGCTCACATTGCCTGACTTAGGCTGTCCTCCTCCACTTTCTGTCCTTGGAGACCCAGCCCTGCCCCACACATGTACAGAGACTCTAGGCCTTCATAGGAGGACCACCTCACCCACCCCTAGTGGCCCCAAGCATCCCAGCTGCTCCCCTGCTTCGAGGCACCCTGGCCAGCTGGGTTCTCTTGCGGCCCTGTCCTAGGAGCCACTGAGCCGTAAGGAAGGCAGCTGAGCTGGCCTGGCAGAGACCATCTGGGCTAAAAGTGGGGAGAGAGACACGTGCAGCAGGCATGTGGGCCTGGGCACGTGCTAGGCGGTGACTTGCCTCTCCATGAGACACCTGCTCCAGAGGCCAGGCAGAAGTACCAAGGATAACACAGAGTGTCTATTGACAGTGAAGAGACCTGAGTGGCCCAGGTCCTCATGCTCAGACCTGGGACAAAGGATGATAGAAACGAGGACATCATAGTAGGGAATCACCTATCAGCTCTCTACATGGCAGGGCGCAAAGGGAGCGATACTTCTACAGAGAATTGATGATCCGAGGGCCATCAGCTTACACACACAGCCCTCATCATCCTCTCTTCTGACCTCCCTGAGCATCCTAAGAAGAGTCATTTTGGCAAGGGACTTCCTCAGCTCATCCACTTGGTCTTAGGAAAACAAACACCCAAGAGGTGCTGACTTAGAGAGCAGAAATGGGGCTTGGCAGGGGCCGGCTGCCCAAGACACCTCTCAGGCTGTATCCTAGAGACAAACACTGGAGGAGGCAGCATCTGCTCCAAACAGACCCAAGAATAGAGTAGCCCAAGGTCATCAGCGGAACTGAACGGAGGCAGGAATAAATCTCAGAGCATCTACAGGGGGGTGCCCATGGGACAGATGCTATGAGCCTCAAACACAGCGATGGGTAAAAGCCAAAGGGCAGAGGACACTGAAGAAAGCAAGCCTCAGCTATCTTTAGGCACATCCTAGTGCTGGGAATGGGAGTCCCAAGGCAGCATTCCCTCCCACAGACAGACTGGCCTGGCTGGCCAGAAAAGAACAGGGTCCCGGAAGCTTAGCTCAGTTGGGGCAGGGATTGCGGGACCTTATGGGCTGCCACGTCTCTGGGCTGCCCACATGGGTTCCCCACCTCTCCTGCCTACCTAGACTTTCCAGGGTCATACCAGAGAAAAGGAACAGCCAGGGAATGTTCAGAGGGTTTCCTGTGGCTCAGAATCTCCACAGCAGGAGGTAGAACCATACCCCATATCCTACCTGAGCCTACAACAGCCTAAGACATCTCAGAGGAAAGGTCAGTTCCTCTTTGGGTCTTAATACAGAATCCACCCTAACAAATGTGATCTCCCATCTGTGTTCGTTCCTGAGAGCCCTGATTTCAGGTTGGTGCAGGTACACCTCGAACAGCTTTATCTGTTCGAACCCATTCCAACAGGAAGGGGTAACTCTAGAACAAGCCTGAGGGACTGGGCCAAGGACTGGCATCTGAAGGCTTTGAACAGAGCTAGAGAAAGGATCTGAACCCTCTCACAATCTGTTCCCCCAGGCCAGAGCCCTGGAATCACAGAAATCTTTGGTGAGAGACAGAATTAATTTGGAGAGGGCTCAGTAGAGATCTGAAGCCAGTCAGTCTTTCACTGAATAAAGAAAGCAGATGGGGTGGGGACTGGTGAAAGAGGGGCTATCTTCTGTCACTGGCTTCCATTTCAGCAACTGCCCAGTTTGCCTTCTCCTTGAAACAAGATCCCAGGGGGGAACATACAGCCTAGCACGTGGGATAGGATCTACAACTTTCTTCTGGCTCCTGCATCCAGTCAGTGGCACCCTGCCTCGTCCATCAGTGAGTTGTGCTTCTTCCTCAAGAATGTGAGGCAGGGCTAAGCATGGCTGCACATGTTCAGGCCCACTCTGAAAGAAGGGGTTTACCTTAGAGCAGGCATGAGGGGCTGAGTCTGGGATTGGGAGCTGGAAGTTCTGGTCGGGGCTGGAGAAAGGACCTGAGCCTTTACTCCTAGCATTTGGGAGGCAGAAGCAGGCAGATCTCATTTACATGGCAAGTCTACATATACACCCAGAGCTGTACAGTGTAACTCTATCTCAGAAAGGTGGGGGTGGGAGGGGCTTAACATAGGCCCCTGTTTTTGAAGGGCCTCACTGGCACCTTTCCTGAACTCTAAAATCAAGGGCAAAAGAAGGGCTGTGTCTAGGGATGTAGATGAGTGGAGTTATCTGAAAATCCTAGCAAGGCATTTGTTCCTTCCTGCAGTGAGAAGGCCTTAGCGAAGCGGGGAAAACTGGACAGGTCTGAGCATGCCCAACATTGGGTGGACATGGGGTACAGTCACAGGTGTCCTACTGTCCTCTCAACAGGACAACCTGTGTCTACTCTACAAGATCTCTTATGACCAGGATGAGACAGATGCCCTCTGCTCCCTGCAGGCTTTTGCTGGGCTTATGGGAGAACTGGCCCAGCTGCAGGCTTAGAGACTGGTGCTGTCTAATCTGCTGGGTAAGGGGCTACTTGCCCAGGCCTGGGGCAGTCCTGGCACTTGGGAGTCATGGTGGTGCCAACCCCAGCCCTGTGGAACCTCTTAGGCCCCCCTGTCAAGACAAGCAGCTAGCAGGGTATCTCACAGGGCAGTGTTTATGACAGATACCCCTTCCTCCCTAAAGTCTGGCCCCTGTACTCACCAACATTCCTTTGGCACCTTTTCCTACCATGGTGGCAGTGGGGTGGTGGATCTGGAGACCTGGATCACACTTGGAGATTCTGCTTTCAGGCAACAGGCCTCAAGAGCTGTGGAGGAAACAGAGTGAGGTAAGGCTCTAGACCAGGCAGGCCCTCTGGCTCTCTAGAACAAGTAATATGTGAGAGTTTTTGTTGTTGTTGTTGTTGTTTTTTTCCTTTGGGAGTCGAGGAGTGGATGGGTAAGGACACTGAGAGGGATTGCCAGGAAGTAACAAGTTTATTAGAAAGGTTGCTAATGCCATGGACAGACACACAGAAAACCAACAGAATAGTAGGGTCTCTGACAATTCAGGTCCTGGCACTGGAGACAGGGGCTCTGAAGTAAGGAAGATGAGTTCACATGGCAGAAGTCAGAGTCTCTTCATAAACTTTCTGAGGATGAGGATGGTTTCACAGCCCAAGCCATTCTCAGGCAGGAAGCAGGGAAGGGGAAAAGGAGTGTGATATAGTACCAATACCCAGAGTGGCCTTCCCAGGTGAGAGGACCCAGGATGTCTGTTAGCTGGTGACTCCAAATACTGTCCCAGTATGGAGCCGGTGGGTATCTGTGGAAGGAGGCCACTGCAGATACTGAGGTCTGATCTGAGCAGAGGCCGGATTCTAACATAACCTAACATCCCTCTCTCTGTACCCACTCCCTCCACCAGACCATTCGGCATCCTGCTCCCTTTTGAGTGACCCTGAGATCCAGCCCTTTCCTAGCTGCCTTCTCAACCCTCCCCCCAGATCCCTTATTCTCTAGGCTTCCTGTCCCAATGGGCAAAGGTCTATTTTTGACTCTCCAGATGCCCAATCCTATAAAAGATAAAAAATGAACACAGAGCTGGGATGGGGTCCAAGTCCTTCATCATCTGTGTGAATGGCTGCAACCTTTCCCCAGGAGGGGAGGGGTGTCAGCTTGGATCAGTGGGCACTCCCCAGCCAAGCAACCACAAGCCCCCTGCCCGATCCTAGTGCCGTTCAGCTTGGGCTCCAGGATGGCTGGACTTGTTGCTGTGTCACTGGTCATGCAGGACACACCAGATGTAGTCACACCTCCTGCTTTTACAACACAGTCCTCCAGTTGTACCAAGTGAAAGTCTGCAAGTCCTTTGGCACTGGGCCTAAATGGCACCCCCTTCTGTGGTCCTTCCCAACACTGCTCCAGCAGAGCGAGCAACAGCTTCTGCTTTCTGCTTTGTACCAATTTGTACTAGTGTTCTTATCACGTCGCACATATTTGGTGACCCCAAGTCAGTAGTTACCTAAGGGCTCGGGATTGAGTTTCCTTTACCCCTTTGGGCCTATGTCCTAGCACAGTGGCCAGATATTGTATATAGGCTGAGCCACAATAAAGGGGAACTGGTGAGTCAGAGGTCCTGGAATGAGGTTCTTGTCAACCTGGGATTGTACAGGAAGCATCTAAGAGCCATGTGGTCAGCAGGTGAGCTGGAGAGGAGGAGGGAAAAGTGGGAGGAGTGAGCCACATGGCAAAGCTCACGCATCAGTGCCAGATGTGGACAGAACAGGTCTCAGGAGGGATCAAACTTAGAGAGCCTTGAAGAGCTCCGTCACGAGGGGAAGACCCAGGGTTAGGTGGACTATGTGGTTCAACCTTCACGGGGCCTGGTCCCAGGGAAGATTTGGCTCTACCACTGATAATTTCCACTCTAAAGTCTATTCAGAATCACTCGTGTAACCAACAGCCACCTACCAAGGGCCACCTCTCACCCACAGGAAGTCAAAGTCTGGAGGAAAGGTAAGCCACTGTTTACTTATACAAATCAGGTCCTGATTCATTGGGTCCTTTGTCCTAGCCACTTGGTTTCCTCTTCTCTGGGCAGGGATAAGAGGAAAGTAACCAGACAGTGACCAGGGCTGGATTCTACCTCTCAAAGGTATTTTCTTAAAGAAGTCCTGCTATGGTCACAAGAGGACTGTGCCCTTCAAGAGGCAATCATACCTTCATTCCCTTCAATCCCTGAACCCTTCAGCAGGTAGGTCTGACTTCCCAAAGTTGCCTTTTTTCTGTCAAGAACCAATAATGACAAAGATAAGCCATCGTGGCAGGCTGTGTTATGATGAGCCACCTCCTAGAAGTTGGGTCCTCTGGACAGCTCAGTAAACTAAGAACATTCTAGGTCTGCATCTACAGCGTATTCTCACCAGGATACACTGAAGCATCTCTTGCAGTTTGCAGAGAGGTCAATGCCTAGCCTGGAAGGCTTGAGGCAACTTTTACAACTGACATCTCAGATCACACCCAGGCAGTCACTGGAATACTGAGTACAGACTCCAAAAGCAGCCCTTGACCTCCCTGCACTAGCAAGGATGAGACTACTTAGGATCTGCACCAGGAGAATGAGGTGGTGTGAAGCAGGGTGGCTCTCCCGCTTTTACTATTTCTGGGAAATGGCCCTATCCGTCCATTCAAAAGGATTTAACGGAGTACTAGGGGGTACAAGTCAGTGGTAGTACTTGACTAGCAAGCAGGCTGGGGGCCCTGGGTTGGATCCATCTAGGTTGAATTCATAGAACTAGGGGAAAAATTAAGTGTCCATCAAATGCCTATAGTGTGCCAGGCCCTCATCTAGGTCCAAAGACCTGAAATACCCAGCCCCCAGATCTGTTCCAACCCATACACGGAGCAACACTAACAAATAACAGGTCAGGGTCACTTGAGAGTATAGTGAAGACTTCAGCTCTGGGATCTAATAGACCTGGGCTGGACTTGGCCTCAGGTACTCACTACTTACAATTCCCAGTGTTATCTGACCTCTTTGAGTCTGACTTTTCTCAAGCTGGAGGATTCGGCTAGTTATGACTCCCTTGTTAACTCTAGGGGATCTCTGCCCAATTTCTGTCTATTAGAAGTTCTCCCCATTTTCTTCTCTTCCCATCCATTAATCTTCCCAAAACCCTAAAGCTTCAATTACCTCCTAGGGTTTTACACATCCAACAGGATATGGCCTGAACTGTTTAGCGGGCATTTTAAAGTTGGCTACAATTAAATTACATTCATTTTTGTTCCACAAATATTTATTGCAAGTCTGCTCTGGGCCAGACCTGAGCTAGGCACCAAGAACACAAAGATCTCTCTGCCTTCCTACATCCTAAATAGTTGTATGGCAAGGGTGGAGGTGGGGTTGGCAGGGAGGATGTCAAACTAAATAATTACAGATGGAGATAAACAGTGCACTGGAGAAAACTTTATATATGCACTGTATAGCAGGTGACAGTCTGGGAGGCTTCTCTGGGCAAAAGGACAATTGGCAATGGTAAAGAAGGGAAGAAGAGGGCAGAGGTGACTGGAGAAAATGAAACCGGCCAAGCTCTGGTTGCCAAAGAGAAAGACAAAATGGATAGATAAGCAGGGCAAGGACCTTTGGGGTCTGGATATCCATCTTAGTCCTGAAGTCATTGGTGACTATTAAAGGCTTTTAAGCATTAGACCAACTGGGAGGAGAATGGATTGCTGGAAGGGGCACTGTGAAAGCACCACTCCTTGGATGTAGTGGTGCCTGCCTATAGTCTCAGGTACTCAGGAAGCTAAGAAGGCAGGATCAGCTGCACCCACAAGTATGAGACTAGCCTGGGCAATATAGGAAGACACTATTTCAAAACAAAACACAAGAGTCAGCTAGGAGTGGTGGCACGCATATTTAATCCCAGCACTAGAGAGGCAGGTGGATCTCTGAGTTAGAGGCCAGCCTGGTCTACAGAGTGAATTCCAGGACAGCCAGGGCTACACAGAGAAAATCTGTCTTGAAAAACAAAACAAACAAACCAAAAAAGCAAACTACAGCAACAACAAAAATAACCAAGAGGCTGGAGACATGGCTCAGTGGTTAAGAGTACTAGCTGTTCTTTCAAAGGACCTGAGTTCGATTCTCAGTGACTCACAACCATCTGTAACTTCAGTCCCAGGGATCCCACCTCCTTGGGCACTACACACATGTGGTGTACGTACACATGCTCAGGTACACACACACACACACACACACACACACACAATTAACTATTAAAAAGAGAGAGAATATGAATTGCTCGCTATAATGCAGAGAAAACACAGAAGCAATTGGGGAAGAGACGTTCTCAACTAGGAATCAGATGAGCCAGGACAGAGAGGAAGGGGCTTGGATCATGAAGTTGATGATGGTGCATGGAAAAGGACCCCAATGAGAGAGTAATTTAGACAGTAACAAAATGGAACTTGGTGATGAACTGGAGAGAAAATGGAGGGTCTCTGCATGCTGCTGGTGCAATGAGAGGAAGCTGGTAGCAGCCCAAGGGACAAGAAGACTGGTGTTACTGCAGATCTGGAGAGGGGAGGGGTCCGAAGTGGACAAACTGACTGGGCTGTGTGTGAGCCACCAAGGCTGATACTGACAGGGTCACAGAGCCCTTTACTACTTGTGACTTTCCTCCTCCCCAAATGGGATTGTCAAATGGACTTTTTCTTTTCAAAGGCAGTAAGGGTTTTTGCATATTAATGTGTCCATGTGAAAGCTCCTGGTTTCATAGTTACCAGGAAGCAGTCAGGTGGGCCAATTAAAAAATGTATTTATTTTTATTCTTAATTGTGTGCACGTGTGTGAGTATGCGCACGTGAGTACAGGGAAGGCGTCAGATCCCCTGGAGCTGCAGTTACAGGGGGCTTTGAGCCCCACAGCGTGGGTGCTGGGAACCCCTGAGTTCTCTGCAAGCACAGTATACAGAGTTTTTTGTTTGTCTGTTTGAGGATTTATTTTTTAATTTGTTTTTGTTTTTTGAAACAGGGTTTCTTTGTGTATCCCTGGCTGACCTGGAACTCACTCTGTAGGTGACACTGGTCTCAAACTCAGAGATCTGCCTGCCTCTGCCTCCTGAGTGCCCGGATTAAAGGCATGTGCCACCACTGCCTGGCTTTTTAAAGTGTGTGTGTGTGTGTGTGTGTGTGTGTGTGTGTGTGTGTAAGTGTACCCACCTAGGGGTGCAGTAGAGACAGGGTGTGTGCTTACGGAGAACATTACAGTCCCTGAAGATGGAGTGACAAACGATTGTGAACCTCCTGACGTGTGCTGGGAACTAGGCTCGGGTCTTCTGGAAGAGCAGCTAGCGCTCATAACCATCTATCCAGGCCCAGTGTGCATTCTTAACAGCTGAACCATTTTTCCAGCCCCCAGGCGGACCAATTTTAGGGGCCCATGTGAACCAAGAACTAGTGACTTGAAGGCAACAGGTCTCCCTGACCTCAGGTACTTCAGTTTGGGTGGGAGGTAGAGTCACTACTCAGTAGCATGGAAGCTGTGTCAGAACAGTGTTGGGCGCATAATGTATCCTGTACCGGGCCCCAAGCCAGCCACTTTGCTGCCATCTGCTTAACATGACACTCCAGCCGTCTCAGGAGCGTCTGCCTCCTGCCTCTCAGTCCCCAGTTTTCACCTGTACATCGTCTACCTACTTCTTCAAAACTTGTCCCTACACCATTGTCTTCATGAAGCCTTCCTGCATCCTCTGCTGAGGTCAACCTTTCCACAGTGCCCCCCTCATGACAGCAGGGTACTGATTAGCATGCTGGTCACAAGAGCAGCATGCTTGCTTGTGGCCAAGTGAGTCCCCCTCTAGCTGGAGAGCTCTGCCAGGTCAGAGGTGTGATTTTTCTGCGTCCTGAGATGAGAGCTGTACCACTGCAGTCCGGCTGAACTTAAGATGAGTAAGGCAGCATTTTCTCTGAGGTCTTTGGAAACACTCTGGCATGCTCAGCGTTCCCTGGTCCCTAGAAAAGGTTCTATCACCGCCTACTCTCTTTTGCCTCTCTAAGCTCTTTTTCCCCGTTCTTTGCCTCTTATCCTTTATCTTCTAGCGGTCATAGCCTCAGACTTGCTTCAATAAAGAAACAGAACCGGAGGGCTGGCAGTGGTGGCACACACCTTTAATGCCAGCATTCAGGAGGCAGAGGCAGGCAGATCTCTGAGTTCAAGGCCAGCCTGTTCTATAGAGCAAGTTCCAGAGTAGCCAAGGAAACACAGAGAAACCCTGTCTCAAAAAAAAAAACCAAAAGGAAAAAAAAAAAAAAAAGAATAGAACAGGCTTTGTGAGGGAGCTGTCAGACCGTTGGGTGGGTATGCAGCTCCTTTAAGAGCGATTCGCGAGGGGCGTGGCCTGAGGAAAGCAGGCCCGAGAGGGGGTGCGGCCCCTTTAAGTAGCGGCCGGGCCACGACTCCAAGGCCCGGGGCGGGCGGGCAGTGTGGGGTGCGGTCGCTT